TATATATATATATACATATATATATACATATATATATATATATATATATAGGTATTATACTTGTTGATATATAGACTGCTTCTTAGCCATAGAAACGTCCATCAAAACGCAGCTGCATTTTTTAGTTTACACAGAGGGTTTAGGGTTTATTATCTAGGGTTTAGGGTTTAGGGTTTAGGTTTTTTTGTATAAAATTTAGGGTTTAGGGTTTAGGGTTTAGGGTTTAGGGTTTAGGGTTAGCTGCAGCAGCTCGGCGAGTGGTCTGGGTGGTGACCCTGGTGCGTTCTGTGTTATATCCCTGGAGTGTGCGGCCCCTCCGCAGCTGAAACTGTATTAAAATATATTTTATTTTAAATATATAAATTAAATATTATTAAAAAATAATATTTATAATTAAATGGCGTGAAAACGAGCTCTCTGGTGTTCCGGTTGTGCATACCGGTCAGCCGTCGATGCGGTCGTGGCGGTGCAGCAGCAGCGGTGGTGGTTCTGAGTATGTATTTTTTTTTTATTTATTTAAATTAAATAAGCAAATAAAAAAATAAATAAAATATAAAATATATTTTATTTATAAAAAAAGATATTCAGTTTTATTTGTTGAGTTGAAACGCCCCAGCAGCTCGATTCTCCCCGCTTGCTCTTCTGTATTCGTCAGCAGTGGACCGCAGCACAACGGCGATCGTTTTTGTTGCATTTTCACCAAAAATTTTTCTTTTTTTTGAAATAAATAATTAAAATTAATAAATTATTTCAAAACAAACTCAAAAAATACCCATAAGTGCTTTCTTTTCTGCTGCAGCAGCCAGTTGCCTGCAGCAGTTTCCTCGATCGTCGCTGCACACCAACAGCAGCAGCAACAGCAGCAGCAGCAGCAACAGCAGCAGCAACAAACGGAAAATTATATTCCATTTGTACTTTCTTTTGTTTTTGTTTTAATAAAATTAAAACAAAAAGAATAATCTGAATAAAAAAAGAAGAAAAAGGTTTTCTTTTTTCTCTCTTTCTCTCTCTCGTGTTTCTCGTTCTTTAGCTTTATCGATTCAGCAGCAACTGCGTTCATCTTCATTCTATCTATCGTTAATATTTTGATTTATTATTTAAATTTAATTTATTCAATTATAAAAAATAAATTAATTCTCTTCTTATTTATCTTCTGTTTCTCCATAACACATATATTCAACAACAGCCAGCGCAGCGTCCATAGCTGCCTATACACCTGAATCCTCATCAGCTGTTTTTTATTTTTTTTTTGTTTTTTTATTTCTTCTGGTTGCTAGCATTCGTTTGTAATTTAATTATAAAGATGCAAAGGAAGAGGGAGACAACGCCTGCTCGCTGCAGCGTTGGGATGGCTGCGAGGACTGTTGCTGCTGTTGCTGCTGCTGCTGCTGCTGCTGCAGCAGCAGCAGCAGCAGATCGGGTACAAACAGCAGACGAAAGTACCCTACATCAGCATGAAGCTACT